TTATCGGACAAGATGATCTCATATTCTGTTCACTAACTGTCTAACGTACCATTTGTTTTCGACTCCAAAATCCATAGACTTTTTTGATTTGGAGTAAAAATCGAATTTAATACATTAATAGATTTCAGTGCAGAAATTTTTGACTATTTCGAATTGAAACTTTTACCATCAAACGTAATCATACAGGTTTACTATTAACCGTTTTTCATGTAACGCTTCCTCGAACTTCATCGGAATTTTTGGCTACTGTGAAATTTTTTTACATCCATCCATCGTCAGATACCTTGAGCACATCGGTAAGTAGTTGCAGGTTTTACAAACAAACTCGCTCTTTCGAAATTATCTACTTATTATCGCACTCTTTCAGCGTTTGGTGAAGTTAATATATGTAAAGAGAAGAATGAAAATAATATAAAATATTAAGATGTCTGTTTATTTGTAAGTAACATTAATAAAATGTGACAGACTGATAAGAACTTCTACACTTTTTCTTTTCTTACAAAAACTTCGTTAAAGTTGTATTTGAAAACTTGCATTTTCGATAACCTCTTCTTTTGCAAACTAAGCAATAGATTCTATTGTTCCTGCTTATATTAATAAAACGTATCACATTAAGCATTATGAATGCAAAAACTGGCGAACAGGATGAACAAACGCCGGTTTATACGTATGCAATTATAAATAAACTATTGACAAAGGCTAACGCTTTTTTTTTCAGCTGTGAATTGAAAAAGTATTCTTGCAACGAACACGGAAAAGTACCCGATGAGTTGATGAAGTAAGAAAAGATAAAAGTTAATTATTATAATGAAAGCCCGAACGACGTTTATATAATAGTGTGTTTGAGCTTGATCAAAGTGTTGTTAATAAAAAATGTATTTGTGAATTGTATGGTGCTTTTGAACACATGTTAAAACTGTATTGGGATGTTCATAATGATAGAAACAATTTTGGTATCAGTGAGGAAGAATATATACGAATATACGGTAAGTGAACATATTTCCGTGTTAGATATCACGCTAAAAACATCCATTAAAACATTTGTGATAACAAGCAAGAATGACTGAAGACTTTATAGGTATTAAACTAATTATTGAACGGCCAATTTTGATTGGTATGGATTTGTGTTCAAAGTTGACTAATTACAAAAACTTTCACCGATATTCATACGGAGTAATTCCATTTTATCGCAAAAGTCTTATGGTAAATCATCTTTGTTGATGCATTTGTAAGGTGGAAGTCAGCGTATCTCATTATATTTATAGATAATGCTTGTAAAGAACAGATATGGTAGGAAAGAGAGTTTTGTCAAAGGTAGGCCAGGAGTTATCACAGACAGAAAAAGTAGTCGACATGGACAGTGGGAAATGCCTCATGAGACAGCCGGAAGAGAAGTAAGAATACGACGGTGTTACTTTTACCATATTCATGAATTATTTATATTAAAAAAGTTTATGGAAGAAGTCGACGGATCCATGAATGATGGTACCGAATTCAATATTCGAACATGTCTTGATTCTCCTCATCACTGCCAGTATTTTCAATGTTCAATCAAAAACTCTGATGGTTCTATACGCATTATTGGATTGTTTCTTGTCGAAGTACCACATATCATTCATTTCACAGTTCGCGATTCTAACGAACTTGATGTTAGCTAGATGACATCGATAAAAATTGTTTTTCCATCATTTTCTTTATGTAGAGTTGCCGATGGTATCTCCTGTTCGATCAACGATTTCTTAAAAAGCTTCAACTTGTTCGTCAATATGGATCCTCATTCCGAAATAGATATCACACAGCATTACCATTTATAGAGTATACTGCAATATCATTAATTTACTTTTTAATCTATCATTCAGTTCTGTTCAGGTTAATGCAGCGTCAATACAAAAGTGAACAGTGCACCAGAGATGTTATAAAAACTCAAAAATATCAGAAAAAATGTAACTACAAAAATAAAAACTTCAAATAAATCGGCATTCTCCATTTGTGTTGTTAAGATAGTACAAATAACTTTAACTAAGCTGTCTGTTGTGAAATGAAAATATGATGACTGACCAAGAATTTTTAAATTCATTATTTGCGATTGCGCAGATATTGTAGTAGCAGATAAAAAAGAGAGTTTTACTAGCTACTGAAAGCAGTTTTAAGGAGCAAGAATTAGCTTAAAATATATTTTGTGACAAGGCATGGCCTTCCGAGGGCGCAGCGAAGAAGAAGGAAACCTGTTTCAATGTATATGTAATTTGATGTGCTGCATCCACCCATGTGCAGGAAAACGAAAAGTAAATTCTGGTATAATTCTGAACCGTATGTGCTAGACCTCATCTATGTATTATCACGTATGTGAATAAGGTAATTAATCAATTTTATGATAAATTGATCATGAACCATTACGACCTTGTCTAATTAATGGTTTATTGGATTTAAATAGTGAGCAAACTAGTTCGAGTTTCCAATTATCTGAAAATTCGGTTTTGTTCGATAATTATTGGATTAGTTTTGTGGGTCACTGTTAGTTCTAAATTTCGGAGCATTCTATCCGTCAGCATACGTGACGCTACTTTGTTAAAGCCTACATTTTTTTTACAATGTCTGATAATTAGACGATAAAATGATGACTGTTTTTAATTCTTTATTTGTTAATGCCAAATGTGTAGCAGCTGATACAATTATAGACGGATTTATCCGTACACACACACTGTTTGCAAAAATGTACTTAAAATAGTAGCTTTATTTGGAGCATCGATAACGATATTACCAGTTGAACTGTATTGTGCAGAAACATTTTTTCGAGGGGCCGTAATGTGACTGGATAAAAACCGGAGTTTTCCAGAAAACCCATGTAAGAACATCTCAGAAAATTCTAGGCAAAAATACTTCGATTTTCTATCTTTGCTATAAATTTGAACTCAATCGGACATGTGCTCCCCATTTGGTAACAAGATGAAAAAAGAGGGGGGATATCCTTAAACGTCGAACGCGTGACACGACATTACCGCGAACGACATTATCGTGAATTTTTCGTAGTACACATTTGGGTATTTTTGGCTGTACGTGGTAGGCGATGAGCATTTCTAACTAAACTGTAATCTTGAATTAATTTTCATTTTATAGAAAATCGATCGAATTTCGGTAAATAACTTGCAAGAGTCTGGAAATTCAACGACGATTTTCTAAAAAAACTGGAAAATCACGAGTAATTTTCAGATTCATGGAAATTATTTATGGAATTCAACTAGGATTTTCTAGATTGTTGGAACTTCTATTTTCTATAAACTGAAAAATCCTCGAGGAATTTCTATAGGTACTATTTGAAATGTGCCGAGCATTTTCCATAAATAATTTCCAACCTTACGGTGCAGTTGAAGATAATGCTGTAATAAAATTTTAATAGCGACTACATTCACCAGTAACACTAGTTGTTTCGTTATTCTTTAACGTTTAGTTTCTGTAAATCTAGCGGATTGAATAGTATACGTTTCAAATAAAAAAGAAATTAAATTTTCACTTATGTTGACCCTGATAAAAATGTTTGATCGGTATGCCTTAGCGGTACATATCAAAAGATGCAGTAAACATCCCTCTATAAAACAATGAAAATGGCATGTTTCTCTTGCTTTTCATTCTCGATTTTGAAATGAATACAGAGTACGTACGAAATTTTATGCATCTCGCTGTATAACTCTGAGATTGTATTGCTAATATTTCTTGAAAAATATATTTTATCTTCGTAGTTTTTTATTTATTTATTTACAATCAAGATGTTTCGATCGCCATGTGCAATCTTCTTCAGTAAAACATAAAATTAATAAAATAAAAATATAAAATATATATATACAACAAGTCCTGTCTTTTCACTACATATTCAATATAGTATGTAAGTTTCTAGTATGAAAAAGATTTGGTTTTGTCCCACCATACATCATCAATCTAAAATTTATCATGAGATCGGTGTTTTCAAACCTTTTTAAGGCAGTATTTGTTAATCTTTACCATAAGCGATAAGCGTCGATGTAAACGCGTGAGTGACTTCACCAAAACATTTTCTTGTTCGACTTTTTACATTGATGTACTCGAGGTACATGTACAAGCGACAATGATTTATTAAATCCTCCTTCTAAAGAATACAGTGATTTCTTTTCCCTTCCTGTAGTATAAATGCAAATTTGAATACTAGTATAACCCAGAAAGAAATTTCGGACCTCCACAGGTCCTTTTAATCTATTAAGAGATTCTCATATGTTAGATTCATGCAACATAATAAGGCATTCGAACGCATTAAAGACGACAATTCCGCGCCGCTAATACATGTGAACTCGTTAGAAAGACAAAAATCGAAGTTGAATCGCAGGTCCGAAATAGTGTCCGAAGCCTTCCAATGCTTTAAATCTGAATTTTAAAAAATGTGTGTGTTTTTAGTGTATAATTTGAAAAAGCGGAATTTGTGCAGCCTTATATCTATATCAATGGTCGCTTTCCACTATGGAGTCACTTAGAAAGTTTTTTCTAAGCTGCTCCTCTTAACTTCGAGGAGAGTGGTGAGGGTGAGGGTGGGTTAGTCGGCGGGGTCAGGGCCGCGAGGTTTGCCTATGGGCGGGTTCGATGGACCTGCCCGTGATAATGTTTTCAGAATACCGCACACGCCGACTGCATTCTTGCGTTAACCCAAACAACTTTTTTGCAAAATACGGCAGAAAATTCTGCATGCGTTGTAACGCAAAAAATTCGCTCTTGTAGAATTATGCAAAATTTTTTTTTCACAAAAAGTTGCATTAATTTCGCTCGTGTAACCATATTTTGCGTTACTTCACTTAGGTTTTTGCATGCGTTTTCTGCGTAAAATTTGATAAACGTTTTTGGAAATTTCTACATGGGCGGTTTCCATTGACGAAATTTTGACCGTCTGCTAATCTCATGAGTTTGCAAGTATTGCTCCGCATAGCGATTAGTTTCACGTACCATCAGGTCAATAATTTCGTCCGTAATGAAATGTCGATAGCAATCGATAGGATCGATTGTATTGTCTTCTGACGTGGAAGTTACTTCTTCGACGAGACCATGACCTTCTATAAATTCATCATCCGATTCCGATTTAATTTCCTTCCAGACGTTTGAATTGACCTCGTCATTTGTCACTTCTTCGTCGGAACTTTCAGATTCAAGATGTATTCTATCAAAATCATCATCCAAATAGCTCACTAAGTGAAGTGAGCTAATGCTTTCTTCTGTACAGTCCTATACGACCGCCGTAAATCACCGTTTGCGGTCGTATTTGCATCGTAAACGGCATAATACGGTGCAAATACGGCAGTAAACGGCCTTAACTACACCGTAAATACGCCGGCCGTAACTGCGCCGTGACTGTTTACGGCCGTTAACGGTCAGTTTAGAAAAAATTATTTTTCGTTTCCAGCATCTTCTACAGAAGATGTACACAGAGCTTCAGGACGTCACCCATGCGTTGTAGGTGTCTGAATTTTGTATTCCATGTTTTCTGAGGAGACGAATTCATACGAAGCTACCAGCCATGGCAAACGCAATGGGGAGGATGAACTCCTCTCATCTCATACGATAGAATACAAAATTCAGACACCCAGAACTTGTCGAAAACACGAGAGAACATCCGATCCACCGATAAACGTAGTTTTACGTGTGTTCACAGTTTTTTTTTCGGCTTTTCGAAGACGTTTTAGAAATAGTTTTCGGATTTTTACCGACATTTTTAGATGCTTTCTAACGTTGTTCATTAAAATGATGAAAACAAACAGACTCGTATGACGCGGAACAGCCGCACAGCTTGTCCATACGTGACGAAATTACGTTTTTGACGCACAAAACTCTAGTTTTTTTGCGAACTACACGAGCTAGAAAGTTGATTCTAGCGTCATTCGACGCAGGCTTTGGACCTCCAGCTATGGTAAAAAAGTTAAGTTTCTCGGAATTAATGTCAAGGTTCCAGAACAATTTTACGGAGTGTGACGAAATTACAAAAAAAGGCCGCAAATTTTTGGTTTTACTGGTAAAACTGTAATTTCTTGCGAAGTTAATGATCCAATCTGAATCATCCTAGAAAACATTTTGAAGAGCGCCTCTCGGGCTATCGACTGGTAAAAAAAGTTTTGCAAAACGCTTTTCCAGACGAATAAAATGCTTATTTTATTTCGTGACGAAATTACACACTTTTTCAGTTCTATGCATTTTTGCATTAGTATGCATAAAAGTCAGCTAAATCCAACTACAATGAGTATGAAAAACCGTTTTTACTGCTTACAAAGTCGGCAAATATTTCTATTTTGCTCATGCGCTTCCTCAGAGTCTAACTGGCTTTTATCTTTTAGGACCCTCTTTCCATTTATTTTGACTTAATTCACCTTTTTTGGAGGCTCTTGGCCACGAGTATCGAGAACATGCAATGACAAGCTTCGCCTCTAAGCACAGCAGACCAAACTACTCGTTTCACAACTCCTCCAATCGCATCAATCGTGCCTTTCCCATGATTAAGTGCATGATGCGTCGTCCTTTTATGCTTAGCTTTCGGCAAAATATAAGGGGTGAGTGTGCAGGTTACATTTTTCTCTCTCGCTAGTAAATCAGATTTTTCTTTTCTCTCCTGCTCTCTCAAAGCAACGATCACAATACACGCAGGAGACAGATGGACACAGAGCTGTATCGGAAGCGTTAAGTACATTCTGTATATAGAAGGTCAACGAGTTCTATTCACACATGATGCTCTACGTGCTCAGTAAATTTAGTGGCAGATCTGAGTAGCACACGTTTAGTTGACCAATACTCTTTTATTATTTCGCTTATTCCAGTAAAAATAGCACTCTATAATTCAGCTAAAAAGCGCTACCAACTGATTAAGTTTTCGTAATTGCGTCACGCTTTTCTACAATTAAATGCGCTTGTTTAATGAAAAAAAGTAGTTCTTTGGATTCGCCGTTAAAAACTGATTATAGTGAACTATTTTTTTGGTGGAAAGTCAATGGTTCATATAACAAGATTTTTAAAATTAGGTGTTTTCGTGACGCAATTACATTGACTTTTATTAAGCATTTCTTCAGCCACTGTGCGATAACAAAGCAACGGATTCAATTTGTCCTTGCGCCAAAAGAAAGAGCGTGGGCGATTATTTGTGGACCATGCCTGAAGGAATTCCTATCTCGATTTTTTAATGTTAAAAAAGTCTAAAAAAACACACTGAAAAGAACGTGATCCGCAAACCTGCATTAAACTGATGGTGCAACGTTTTTATGATTTCAACTTTGCTTTAGGCCCGTAAAAAGCACACTTCATGACACTATCGAATGCGCTCTACAACGTGACACTAATGATTTTGTTCAGTTTCGAAAAAAATACTTGATCAGCGAAGTGTCGCGTTACGTGGATAAGCTGTACAGTTAACTGTTATGTTACACACATTTTGTAGAGAATTTTAGGGTCCATCCAATGGTATATTTACTTTGTGGCCTATGCGAAAGAAACATGAGAAAATTTACCTGATAACCTATAGCTGATAATCTATTAATCAATACAAAGAATTACTAAATAAAAGATGTGATCGTAGATGACCTTAGTAATGCGAAGAGGTTTGATCATGTAAAATTATGGAATTTTTTTAGGACGTATAGTCTTCAACGTTCCTGTGCTGAACGAAATTTCTTTACAACTATCTGGACTATATATTTCGATTAAGCGTAGAGAATAAAACTTTTTCCAAAACCTCATCTCCAGAGATCTTGATCGTAAAATAGCTGTATTTCACTAACCACTAACAGCCAACTCATAAAGGATTTCCTTAAAGCAGAAACAGTTGAATACCGCTCACGGCCCATCGTATGTTTAACCAAGCTCCACCAATACTTAGAGGACGCACAAACTTTATAATTTATGTTTTTATAATAACTCTCCTTTGCCGCAACGCACGCTTCTTTACATTTTTTTTGTTCTCTTGAAGTATTGGTCAAAATGATATTGTGAGTGTTTACTTTTCCGAGACAGTTTTTCCTTCCTTTTATACAATAAACGTAATTCATGGTTGAACCGAACCTGACCTGATCCTTTGTTTCGATTACAACAGATTTATGTGGTACAAATTTGTTTATGTGTTCAACCCGAATTTCCTCCGAAGCCTGTATCTTTTCACTAATGTTGCTATAATTTCGAAGAATTTGATCAAGTGGAATTTTTCTGAAACGGTTATTAACCGTATCCCGCAGACTTATAGTCATAAATCGTGCGTACGATTCTACTGTTTTGTGTTAAACAACTATATAATTCAAATTCAACGAGGCTATGATCACTACAATCTAATGGTGGATCAATGGTCAACCTTTTGGATTAGAGGTGATGATCAGATCCAAGATATCTAAAAGATATTATTGTTATTATATACAATTTTAGTGGTAAAAAAAATAAGAGAGAAGTAGAAAAAAATATTCGTGTTGTTATTAATGTTTTGTCGTAGTTATGCTTTAAAGTGAGAACCAGATGATAGCTAGATTATATTAATAGATGAAAAAAAACTGATATGGAATATTGAGTGCCATTGAATCAATTAGTTGTGTTTATCAGACATCTTTCTTCAATGAAAAGTGAGTGAAGTTAAAATTTTATAAATAATGAATAAGAGATTCCACAAGATAAATCTGTCAGATGGTTTTTTTTGGACAGCAAGGATAAACGCAGCATTTATGCATTCCGATCAGACTCTTGCTCATTTGAGAAGAAAGATAATTGATTTTTGAGTAAGATAAACGTACCGATTCATAATCATTGAACGATACATATTCTGCTCTTTACAGTGTCAGTTGTGGTAATGGAAGATACAGATTTTGTTATTTTTAGTACCGTTCCGTTATCATTTGTTCTGATATCATGATCAGGAATGGTACCAAATGGACTCACATTGTTTTTTCCCGCTAAGTCAATTTTATTTCTTACTGTGGCAATCTGATTTTGAATATTTTTGACATGCTTATGTTCGTGATCATAATTTTTTTCGAATATTTTCAATGCATTCATGTAATAATCGAGTGCTTGTATGTATTTATTCATACAGAAATAAATCCGACCGATGTCCTTTAATGCCCAAGCCAGAGATGGATTGCTTGGTGATTGTATTCTCTGTTGAAAATCGAACGCTTTGAATCGGTTTGTCAGAGCGTCATCAAACCGATTAGCATTGGAATAAAGACCACTAATTGCAATTAAACAATCAATCAAACCTGAATGATTTGTTGGACTGCAATTTTCGAATATAGCTAAAGCTTGTTCGTAACACTCTAAGGCTTCCTTGCTACTCTGCTCTTTGTCACGAAATATATCACCAAGTGTCTTAAGCATATGTCCAATTCTTATATGATTTTTCGGTAAGTTTGCCCGTTGTGTTGAGAGTTTTTTCTGACAGAAATTCAGAGCAGTTTCATGTTGACCTTTTTTTTTGAGAATGCGTACAATTGAATCTAAATCACGGGTAAGGTTTGAATGCTCACTGGATAAAATTTTCTCTTCCATTTCTAATTGAAGTTGGTAATATTGCAGAGCACTATCGAAATCTTTCTGGTCTTCGTAAACGAGTCCAATGTTGCCAAGGGTTTGTGCACGCACCGGATGTTCCGCAGGCAATACCCGTTCAAACATTCTAAATGCTTGATGAAGATAATCTAGTGACATTATGTAGTCTTTTTTCAATTTGTATACCATACCAATGCAGTCCATTGTCTTTGCTTTCGTCACATGATCACCGGAATAATTCTTTTCGTAGATCGCGAATACCTGTCGATAATGCATCATAGCTAGATCATAATTGCCTTTCTGCCGATGAATAAGTGCGATATTGTTTAATGATTCTGCTAGTTGAGTATTATCTGAAGTCAAACGTTGCTGACACAAGTTATAGGATTTTGTATAGTTTTCCAGTGCCAAATTCAATTCACCTTTTCGACGTAAGACATTTCCAATATTATTATACACCGCCGGCATGTCTGCATGATCGTATGGTAACGTTTTCAATAACATATTAAAATATTTTTCGGCTTTCTCTATTTGTCCCATTTCACAGAGTAAAAGACGTCCAAATAGAATAGTTGGTGTATATTCACCTGTGACCGTTTGTTGACTTATATAAGTAAGATAATCTTCTCGCTGTTTAGATCCGTCATCTGTTGCCGTCATATGAGTTTTCCACAAATTCAATGATAAATCAAACTCTACTGCATCGATTCTAAATACAGCACACAGACTGAATAAATATTCTTCTTCACCTTCATTTCGACTATATTTATCTATGTCAGCAACTATTGTCGTTGACAATTGTTTATCAACTTTAATCTCAAACAGAACGAGCGTATTAAGATCGAGACCTCTCGAGGGTGCAGCAAACCTTAACGCGATATTCCTATTTTTTGTTGTCGAAAAAAAACCATTTGTGGATATTAGAATACCAGTGTTCGATTTGAGTTTCTCAAACTCTTGTTTTGACATAATTTGACATCGGTATAGTGTCAGTTTTTGTCTCTCTTGGAGATACACTTGTTCATTTTCTAACTGCTGGCATAAGTCAATAGTATAAAATCGAAATAAATAAAGAAGATCAACATTTTCGGTTCTTAA